GCCTCATGTATCATATAAATCTTATTTTTTTCAAACTTATATATTTGTATTTATCAAGTAGATTATAAAATCAAAATATACCAAAGATTTTTCAATTAACTTTTAATTTAGGGGCAATTACAAAAATGCTATTTTTTGTGTGCACATTTGCAAGAATGCCACTTAGGGGTGTCCATTTACAAAAATGTCACTAATTATAGATTTATAAAGCCTATATCTTAAAATTCTAAATCCTAAAAAATATTTTGACATCTAAAACCCCCTAAACACTCAAAACTAAACCRTAATAGAACATAATTAACCCAAACATAAATAATATAAAGAAAAAAATAATTTTGAAAAAGTAGCATTTTTGTAAAGATTTCAAAAGTGTGGCATTTTTGTAAAGTGGCACTTGAAAAGTGGTATTTTTGAAATTTTTCTTTAATTTATAAGTAATTAATAAGCATGGTTTATTCTTTTTAAAATTTGTCTTTATTATATGTCTTCGTTTTATTTTTTTCGTAAAACCATTTTTTTACGTGTATTAGATGAAATAAGTTTTAATATTTTCTCACAACAATATTAATTAATACATTTGTAAAAAAATTGAGTTCAAATAGATTTAGATTTACATACTCAAATCTTTATGGATTATAATATTTTGTTTTTATATAATAAGGTTTTGTGCTTTCTCAATATTCTCACCAAACAATTTTAGACTTCGATAATCTCTTCCACAAATTTTATTTCAGTTTTTCATTAGATAACAACATCGATTACGCTCTTATTTGATAGGTGAAATAGATTACGGCGATCTATTTTAGTTTATGAGATTAATAAAAAAAAAATTTACTCAGTTTACTTTTGTTTTATTATTTACAGCATATATATCATCATATCAATATCAAGGACTACTCAACTAAAAATAACATTTTCTATGGTTATGAGCTTTAATTGTTATCTCAAATTTAGAAATTTGTATTTTTCAAAATATCTTTATTAGTTTGGTTCTTTAAATCGGCAAGAATATATGATCGACCATCTAACGTTTGGTAAAGTACATCATTTGGCAAATAGTTCACTGATTCAAGTTTTAAAAGTTGATTGATTCTTGTCATGATATCTTAGTTAATTGTCTATTGAATTAATATAGAGGATTTGAAAACATGCATAATAAAAACATTTAATGATTTTACCATAATTATATGATCATCTAATACATATTGCATTTTCCTAGTCTTTTCCTCCACATGGGTGTTCAAACTACAGCAACAGAGAGAATCAGAGAACCATATTCATAAACGGATTAGAAAACCATATTAATAACAATGTTTATAATTAAATGTCACAAACCCAACAGAATTAACCGAAAAATCAAAGAACAATTAATAAACTCAAATGTTATGAGAAAAACAGTAAGCAACAGCTTCCCCTCAACTAATATCACCTTTAAACCGACTCTTCACTTTCTCATCTCAAATTTCACAAAACCGACCCAAAAAAATAAACCCAAATTCGAAATATCTTCTCCTCCGCCGTAGACCACCGTTCGATTCACCGGATACCTTCGTGGATGGGCCAATCAACCTCCGCCGCCGGAAATTCCACCCTTCATCGTCGGAGAACTAAATCGTTCCGATTTCCAATTGAAACCATCGAATCTGATGAATCTGAGATTTCGCCGGATTTCACGTCGTGTTTACCCGACGAGTGCTTGGCTTTAGTGTTTCAGTTCTTAAACTCCGGTAATCGGAAAAGATGTGCTCTCGTTTGTCGAAGGTGGATGATCATCGAAGGACAGAATCGTTACCGTCTCTCTCTCCACGCTCGTTCAGATCTACTTACCTCGATCCCTTCTCTCTTTTCCCGATTCGATTCCGTTACTAAGCTTTCGTTGAAATGCGACCGTAGATCTGTAAGCATCGGAGACGACGCGTTAGTCGAGATCTCTCTCCGATGTCGGAATCTGAAGAGGCTTAAGCTTAGAGCTTGCCGTGAGCTCACCGATGTAGGTATGTTTGGTTTCGCTGAGAATTGCAAGGATTTGAAGATTTTCTCTTGTGGATCTTGTGATTTCGGTGCTAAAGGCGTCAAAGCCGTGCTCGATCACTGTTCGAGTCTGGAGGAGTTATCGGTGAAACGTCTCCGTGGATTCACCGACATAGCTCCGGAAACGATTGGTCCAGGTGCAGCTGCTTCTTCTCTTAAGTCAATCTGCTTGAAAGAGCTTTACAATGGACAGTGCTTTGGTCCGGTGATCGTCGGTGCGAAGAATCTCAGATCACTAAAGCTTTTCAGGTGTTCAGGTGACTGGGACATGCTTATTCAAGAAATGGCTGGTAAGGATCTTGGTATAGTGGAGATACATTTGGAAAAGTTGCAAGTGAGTGATCTAGCTCTCACTGCAATCTCCAATTGTTCAAGACTTGAGATTTTGCATATTGTGAAGACACCTGAATGCACAAATCTCGGTTTAGCAGCGGTTGCAGAGAGGTGTAAGCATTTGAGAAAGCTTCACATTGATGGTAACAAATTGAATTTGATTGGGGACGAAGGGCTTGTAGCTGTGGCTAGGTTTTGTCCTCAGCTACAGGAATTGGTTCTTATCGGTGTGAATCTGACCACGTTAAGTTTAGGATTGTTGGCTGCGAAATGTCAGAATCTTGAAAGATTGGCACTTTGGAGTTGTGAGACGTTTGGTGATCCTGAGCTTTCTTGTATTGCAGCGAAATGCCCGACTTTAAGGAAACTATGTATCAAGAACTGTCCTATTTCCAATCTGGGAGTCGAAAATCTTGCAAACGGATTTCCCGGTTTAACCAAAGTGAAAATCAAGAAGTGCAAAAAGGTGATGGGCGGGTGCGCAGACTGGTTAAGAGCGGCTAGGCCTACACTTTCGGTTAACGCAGACACTGTTGAACCAGAACATCAGGACGCAAGCAATGATCCTGCTGGAGACTTGCAAGAGAATGGAATCGAGTTCCCTCAGTTGAACAGCCAGGTAATGGCACCAAGCATTACATCGAGTAGTAGTAGAAGCCGGTCAGGGTATTTCAAATCGCGTAGTGGACTGTTTAGCGGAATGAGTCTAGTAGCTTGCACTTCGAGACAGCGGGAAAGCAGGTGATTCGGCTGCGCTTATCCAGTACTGTATTGCTTGAATCATGTTGTCCTTTAGAATACTAAAATTGTATATAAATTGTATTAGATTGTTTGTTGCATCTCTCAATTCCATAGAAAATCTTTTACCCATCTCTCACGTCGCCAACACTTGCGGAAACATTAGTTTCGTAATATGGTTACCGAAGGTGAAACTATACAAGACAAACCAAGACCCTATCATCAATACAGACATACAATATGCAGAAGCAGTAGAATTTTAACAGTAATCAAGGATGCTAGATAATATGAAAGGTCAATTTCGTTTAGAGTAAGACAACAACATCCTTATAGCATCTCCAAAATATCACTCCATTTTTTACTCCAAAAAAAAATGAATTTTACTCCAATGTATTACTCCATTTTCTACACCAAAAATATTCTTAGTATATTCTTTTTTTTTTATTCTATAATTAATTACTAATTATACATTTTATCTATAAAATTTACAAATTAACCCCATTTTCTTTTTCTTTTTTAAAACGTCCATAAATTAATATTATTCAAACTTAACATTTATAATTGAAAGGAAAAT